CCACATGAAAGTACTGCTCAATAGCTTTTATTTGAATGGTCACACACTAGTGTTTCTTCCACAGACCATAGTCAGAGCCACATAAATCGTAGTTTGGCTCTGGAAGTAAACGATTAAACCCTCATATCATGATGTCAGACTATTTTTAATAACAATATACAAATATCAATTCCCAAATAAAAGAAAATTTGTAAGTTACACAATAAAACACAACGTAAACACATTTTGTTGTTTATTTTCTCTTTGGAACAAAAAACTACCTTCAATATACTACGACTAAATGGTCAACTGTCAGATTAATTAACCTCCAGGGGTGAATTGTGCATACTTGAAACCAGCTCCCACAACTAAATAGGGAGTTTAAGAAAACCACAACGGCAACGGCAACAGGAACGTCGCTAAACAAAAGGTTGAATGAGCAGAACAATGGCTGTGCACGTGCGTTATAATTCTTGGACATTTCTTTGCCGTCCTCTGCAAAACAACAACGTGAAATGACTAAATAGACCAATTTCGATATATTAAAATTCAGCCTAAAACAATAGACCTCAGCACGAGGCTCCGGGGAATAAACCCCACAAACTCTGTAGTAATTCCCCGGAGCCTCGTGCTTAAGTCTACTGTTTCAGGCTGAATTTTAATGTATCTATTTCAAATTTATCGCCGTGTTCCAGATTCAGTTTCGTGATAGTTTTGACAGTGATAAACAAAGTAAATGACTTCAGAGTGCCGCGAGATTCGTAGGTAAAATATAAATACATTTTTTAATCGACGTTGTCCTCGGCGTCACCGTCGTAGCTTCTTAAACTCCCTAATACCTCCATGCGATGACTCCTACAAGTTCTCCATTGTAGTCTATTACATGGCCACATAGTTTTTTTAAAGGAACTCAGTCAAGGAATGTAGAGGTATTTAGGCCACTTACAAATTTACCTACAAATTGCTTTTTACTGAAGGAAACCTGAAAATAATAGTCTACCAAGATAGAAAAACACCCAAGAGATAATAAAAAATAGGTACCCAAAGGGTACATGTGTAGCATACGTGGATCCAGAATGCAATGAAATCTTTGCAACTCATTTGCATTAACGGACACGAGCCGATGACAATAGTGTGGGATACCCACAGGTATCCCACACAAAAACCATAAAGAAACAAGGATGGTTAAGGATGGAGAAGATTGATACGGATTACAAACGACGAACTTTATAAAATCTTGGGCTAAACTTTACAAGATGCGAAAACCGTGACCTAGCTATTTAAAGGGTCGCCTAGGCAAACCGGCTCCCTATAATTCACCGGATCAAATCAAAATCCTATAAACCCATTGGTTTCTGAGCAAATTCAGACTCATGGATTGACCTCTTGTCGAGGAAGCCAAGGGTATGTTACAAGAACTCGATGTGTGAATGAGTTGTGGAAGAAGCGCTCTTGGACATTTAAAGAAAAGTAGAAAATGTTGACAGTCTTGGCATAACTGAATTGCCCCAATTTGGCGTAAATGTCGAATTAGTTTCGCTGTTATTTAGTTGGTCGACAAGTTAAGGGGGCAAGAAAGCATTTAACGATGTTTTTCGCCCTGTGTATACTTCAGTGCAAACTAAATTACGGGTCTCTTTGGTCACCTAGCTCAAATTTGCTTCCTGTGACTCGTGACTCCATTTGACTGTAGAAACGAAAATCGCCCAACCTACCCCTCCCTGCTTCCAACTGTGGAAGTATGATTTGTGACTCCATTTGCCGGGAACTTGAGACTGAAGAAACGAAATCCCCCACCCAACCCCCAGTTGTGGAAATAAAATGTCAAAAAATTTCAAACGCTTGATTTTCTTTCTTCAGGCAATTCCTTTATCGTTGCAATAATTGAGCCATGAGAACGTCTCGGGCCCAGACTGTTTTTGGCGACTGCCAACTTCCCAATCGAACCGTTCATAAATTGCAGCGCCAAACATGCCGGTGATGATTTCCGACGCGAACCACCTCCTTGAGTCGGCGATAAACCGATGCCCGACGCTTGGTCGATAGAATATCGACGAGTGCTTTCTATCGCGGCCTGTTTTGTGTTCTTCTCAGGCCGGAAAAATATAACGCGAACTTTGGGCAAAAACAGCAAGAAAAGCATGGAATACGCGCCCAAGATAAGCGCAAGAATTGAACAAATAACGTTTACCTTTCCGCGAGGTGGGACGTGACGGAAAATCAAGATTACCAACCACGATGAAAAGTTTGTAAACATGCTAAGGCAAATCCATTTGAATTCGTTGTAAGCTCGAGGAAGAGTACGAGATTTGTACGCCAGATAAGAGCACGTTATCGAAAGCAAAGTGTTATAGCCTACCGAAGCTATATCAAAGCCGAGATTCTGGTCACATGATATCAGTAGCGAATCAGCAACGCTGTAGTCGTAAGTGACTTTTGGCGGGAAAACCAGGAGGTGGATTATGCCCAACGCAAGCTGCACGAGAATCAGTGCGCATGTCAGAAACCCGTACCAGCTATTGTTGAGAAAACAATGTCTCTTAATGGCCGAGAAAATCTTGATCAACCGGTTTGTCTTGGTCAGCAGGACAGCGGTGATAGCAGTGTACAACACAGCGAAAGAAACAGTTCTCGTTTTGCAAATAGCGTCAGACGGTTTACCAATATAAAGGACAGGATTAACGAACCAAGCTAGGAGAATGACCAAAGACAGGACAGTGAAAGTCAGGTTTGTAGCTTTCACCACAGGCGTGTCTTGATATTTCACTAACACACCGAGAACAAACAACGTGAGAATCAAACCCAGGCCGCACGCGCCCAGTAGAATAATGGCAATTAATTCTCCAAAACTTACAATGGTCAGCGGTTTTTTTACACAGTCGCTCTGAGGGACATTTGTCATTTGGTCCTCTGGGCACACTTTACAGAGGGTCGCGGTGTAGTTGCTATTATAGGTCCCGTGAGGGCATTTATGGCAGCTCCACCAACATGCCCCAAAACCATATTTAGTAAAGGTGCCCAGCGGGCAGCGCTCACGGCATCTCGAATAAGGCGCCTTACTTTCGTTCCCAGGCCACTGAATGTCACTCTCATTCATTACCAGTCTCTTGCCTCTTGTCCATTTTCCCACACGGAAGTGGGCCAGGGCTTTATTGTTGTTCACACGAAAGTTAACGACTTCAAATTCAGCATTTAATTCTCTGTTCGTGTCAAAACCCACACTGATGTTTCGATTGTTATTAAACGGATTCTTCTCCAAGTTTCTAAGAACACTTTCACGAACGTGTTGTAAGGTAAAATTGCTCTCCAGGCAGTTTAAACCACTCGACTGCACCCCGCATCGAGTAACATGCTTCAGTGCCTGAATAATGGCGAGAGCTGCATTCATGACGTAAGCACTTTTAACCAATGACAAACCCTGTAAACCAATGACATTGTCTTCGCTATGACGCCTGCAAAAGGCGGGCCAGCGTCTGTCCTTTTCAAGCCACGCGCAATATGCTCCTGATATGTTTCGTGACAATCGACTGACGTGAGCTTTAAATTCGCCCAAGTCTTCCTCGGACACGGAAATCGCTAACATCCCATCTGTGACGTCACCATAACCATTAGCCAATCGGAAGCGGTCGTTACGTGTGTCGGCTCCAATCCACACTCTTTTTGTTTTCGTTAGATTATTTTTCTGTACCTCTTCGAAAATATCGGCGACAAAATCCTTGTTTCCCAAAAGAACGCTAACAGAAACACTCTTGCGGGCTTTGATCGCTGACACCACCCGAGGAATTTCACTATGAGCGACTACTTCATGTAGCGCGACACAAACGTTGCGTTTCTTTAGGCTTCGTTTGAGGCTTCCCATCAACCCACGATTAAAAGCATCCTTTGAAGAAATGATATTAATACAAGACCATTCAAAGTAAGCTATAAGACTTGCCAGCGACGCTGTGACTTGTTTGTCAGACGGACAGGTGCGGAATAATGTACTGTAGATTGATCTGTCGTTGAGAAGTGAACTTGTAGCTCCATAACTGACCTGGAAAGAAAAATAAAACATTAAAAGCTTAAATATGGCACACACCTTGCATACGGCTGGCGCGCCTGAAATTTGAATTGACGAATCAGGATTCAGAAGGTGGAAAATGCTGTACTGTCCTGACGGCAATGTATGTTAACAATAAAGGCATTGAAGTCTGGCAACTTTCCCCACTGTAGACGGCATTGAATATTCACGAAAAGGGATTTATAATTTCAAAAACCATATCAGATTATAAAAAGTGAAAAATATTAAACATTCTGTGTCTCCAACCTTTGAATTTGGCGCCAAAAATGGGTCGCTCGCGTCCGGCATGGCAACTCACTCATAGTTCGTCGAGTGTCGCCAGGCAGGAAAATAGTTGTGTTATTTTGAACAAATATGTTGTTCCTCATCAAATTAAACCCCAAAATCCCTAGTTAAGTATTAGAAGAGGCCAAAGCAACTTTAGCACTGCCTATATTTTTGTAAGCCGCGAAGAAAAAGACTGTTATTGTGTCGTTTCGGTAGGACAGTTCAGTTTTTAATTTCTCCAAACACCATAGATTCATTGCCAAACGGTAACATAACGATACACCGCATACTCGAGTAGCTCGCATTTAAAGAAATGACCCAGTTTGTGCTAAACACTGACGCACCAACAGATACAGATAATTTTTATCTCACTCCGGGCAAATTTCGGACTAAAACTTTGCTGAAACATAGCTAACGCAAATTTACGCCTACAAAACACGTTTTAGACTGAAACAAAATGATATTTTTACAGCACCCTCAAGGTTTCAAAGATACACCGACGGGAAAAACAAGAACTATATCAAGCCACTACATATCTTAAGTGGTGTTTCAACTAGAGTTCGCTCCGTAAAGGAAACTGTAGCGACTTAAGAGCTATTTAAAAGTTCTACACTGTACTGTAAATATTTCAGACGCTTAAAAATTTTGGTTTAATTTTCGGACACTTTTTTGTCAGAAATTGAAATCGTCCGAAATGTTTTGCAAGTAATATAAGTGACATCACCGGGAAGACAATGTCTAAAATTCTGGTGGGTGGGTGGATGCTACGAGCCTCTTGAAATCCTTACCCTATCTCTGACCAAAATGTGTAATTTTCCCAACCCTATTCAAGTTCAGAATGGTCAGGATAGACTCTATCAAGGAAGTGCTTCGGTTTGCATAAACATTTGAGAAACAAAGGAACAAAGGAAGTCATATGCATAACAGTGGTGGATCTTAATTAACATAAACATTTAACCAGTGTATTCTTGGTTTTCTCCTTACATCAAAACTTCGTATTCTCAACTCACTTCGCGATGTAGGAGAATGTGACAAGACATTTTTTTCTCTTGTTTAAAATCTTGAGATGGACAACAACGATAAAAATAGCTTATACCTAATTGCTGGCCAGAATGCAAAAACAATATATCAATTTCAGACCAAAACGGCTAAAAAACGATATCCTATGGCGCCGCACATAGCAATGAGGTTGATATAAGGGATATGCCCTCTCCAGGTGACATTTTCGAATGACAACTTATATGGCGTGGGCAGTGCAAAAATAGATTTCCGTCACAAACTGTTTTTGTGAACGGTATATTTACAGCAACAGAAGTATAAAAATAATGTCAAAATTAATTAAATGACACATTAACTTACAAACAGGAAGGCGTTTGGTATAATCAAAAATCATATTAGATCTCTCTAGCAGTGCCATCTTAATTGAAACACCAAAAGAGACCATTTTTGAGCAATTCAAGTCAGGAATCCAAGCGGTCGTGAAATAACCTTCACACCTGCAGAAACCTCGAAATAAAACAAAATGCAAGAACACCAAACAGGTCATCGTAACCAAAACGAATCAAGAAAATATGAGATTAAGATCGGGAAGATGGTAACGGATTTCTATTGAGGAACATGTATAATATTAAAGATGAATATTTCAATGGCGTGCCTTCAGCTTTAAAATGGCTTTTTTTAAGCACTTGACTGGGTTCCCAAAGTTTCTAGAACTAGCATTCCTTCATGACATTAAATTTTACAAGAAATAAACTTGCTGCTGTGATTTAGTTGTAGTCACAACGACAACATAATAATGGAACGTTTTAATTATTTTTTCATCAAATGATGCCGGAAAAAGCAAAAAAAAAAAAGATTACAATTTTAAGACTGAAAAGGATTACCTTCCATTTAAAACTGTAAAATTCACAAAAGAAAACAACAGAGCAGACTGGTGATGTTTCGAACGTATAGACATTAACTAAACGACAATAGCCAGCCCACCGGATCTTCGAGGGCCGTGAAAACGAAAAAAACCGTTTAAAAGCGTCAAAGCTTCTAGAATTGTCAACATTGTGTCAACTGAAAATAGTTTTGTCAGTCTACAAGCCAAACGCCACCTGAAATCACGTGCACCTCATAAAATGTGACATATGCTGTTAGACCGCTATAAATTTTTACATTTTATGTATTTGGTATCTTGTAGTTCTGTTATCATACTAAGTTCACATATTTGATATATTTATGTTTTCCCGAATTAAATTGTAAATAACTTTAATCTTATGTAGCTGAGCCATATATTATTGAGTAAATAGTCTCTCCAATTAGCTTTTTCAACTGCGGATAAAGATGTAAAGACATCTCTTTAATGAACATCGCAGTTATGTAAACAAGTTAAGCAGTTGTGAGAATAGCCCCTGAACTTGAAAAAATTCAAGCTTGAAGGGGATTCGATATTATTAACGGAAAACTGGGCCATGATTGGACATGATTACTTATAGGAACTGATAAAAATACTCCGTTTAAGGTAATTCCTCTGAAATAAAAATGACAATAGAGTTTTGTTCAAACTTTGTCCACTGAATATTTGTCATATTATAACCTCAATTTTGAAATAAAAAAGGGGGGTGCCCATGCTCATTAAGGAGCAGTGACGCATTGAAAATGCCCCATTTTGGCATTATTTGATGCTTATTATAAGAACGCATTCCCAGTAATTGTAAAATCTTTGTGAACCCAGACTCATAAGAACGCGCATTAAACTACAGTCAATGCATTGTGTCGAAAACAAATAAACATTTTAAGTTTGATTCAGGCAGAAAGCTAAATCCTTGATTAAAAATTTGAACCAAATTTCTTGAAATGGATACAGACTGCAAAATAGAAAAGACAACAATGTATCTGCTATTTTTCTTATTTATTCAATTTTCAGCAATAGAAATTAGATCAGTCTTTTCTCACGCAAAGCTTTTGATTAGTTGATTACAATGACTGGAAAAAAATTGGGTTGCCCGTGCTCGTTTGTGAGCTAGAGCCATTTTTCAACTGACAGAGCTCAATATCAAGGCAAATCCGTCATGTTTTCAATATGCGCGTGCACGAGCGCGCGCTAATGACGCCATAAATTATGCGCAGTAAAGATGCGTAATGCAAATGTGAGGAATGACCTTAAGAAATGATATCAGTAATATTAGAATTAAAATCCATCAAATATTTTCGCTGGCGCGCATTTGGTCCAAACGCCCCAGCGAAACCGGGGAATATCCGAGTGATATTCCCCAATTTTCAAAACTGCGCGCGTTGCGAAAAATATTTGAAGGACTATAAACACAATAGCCTCCATTTGGCGCGAAAATATGTTCGGATATTTTTGTCCTTAGAAATTATCTGGTCCTCAACGTTCACAGTTTTACGAGAGCGTAGCTGCTGTTCGCTTCTCTATATACATAAATATACCTCAAATCATCGAAAACAGTTCATTGAGATTTTACACCCAGAAAATGTCACCAAGAGGTATATTCTCCTTCTCTCGTCACGTGACACCGCTGTGCTGTTAGCTGCTGCTGTACAGCAAAATTTGATCTTAAAAGCTCTTCTGACGTTTAGGTTCTTTCGATGTTCATTTGATGACCATGACAATTTGTTTCATGTTTCATATCAACGCCCTTGGCTTATTATTTATTTTATGACCAGCTAGTCACTAACCTCTAACTAACCGAACGCGAGGGCCGTACAAGGGAATATTCCCCAATACGGCTCGAGCTAGCTAGGTAAGTAAGTAGTTTATTATATGGCACTTTGGCCACACTTTCGAAAACAACAACAACAAAAAAAAAACACAGATAATAACTATTTGCATGAGCGGTCCATATGGCAAAATCCCGACCAAGAAAGAACCAATCAGAACGCTAGCATTTTCTTGAAGACTACCTTGCCATATAATAATATGCGGTATTCGCAGATGAACTTGGAACTTGAACTTGAACTTGAAGCACAACAAGCCCAATCACATTTGAAACGCAAGATTCCTTCCAATAACACTGCCTCCTCTTGGCCTCTCTAAGAATAAACTCACCGAAAATGTTTTCTGGATACTAGCCAAGGCTTTAATCAGAATTTTATGGTAGGGATGGAACGATTACTAATTATCAATTTGCAAAATCAAAGACGAGCAAAGGAGAAAAAAGCCCATCAGGTACTTTAAATCGACAGGGGGGATTGCTTTTAGGAGCATTAAAGAGGTTTCAAATTGATGTTATTGTTTTTCTTGTAATATTTCAAAATTTGTTGTGCGTTTAAGTAATCCACGACAATGCCATGATATTGCCGGTTTAGATAAAGACTCGCCTTTTATTTTTATTTAAATGTACCAATTGGAAAAAAGGTTGTGTTTTTAGTCTCGAAAAGAGAGAGAAAGCCCAAATTACTTCAAGAGAGTCCTTTGTACGAAGCCATTCATAGTTGAACGTCATACGAACCCATTCGAAATCCTGGTCGCAGCAGGGGGGACTGAAATGGCTTTAAGCAATTGAAAGGTTTTTGCTGGCTCCCTATGTGACTGGTGATAAACGATTTTAAAACCACTCTACGAAAAGAAATGCTATTTAGATTAATCTAAACTCATAACAACGGCAATTTGAAAAAGCTACAATTTTACGCAAAGGAAACAAGCCAAAATTTCAAAACAATTAGTATACTGAACTACATGTGCGAGCTGAATAGGAATCATAAACATTTAATTCTTGTAGCAAAATCAGGGATTACTTTTCTGAAATACTTGGGCATGTCGTCCGCAGTCTCCATAGGAAATGTTCCACATCCTCAAAAACGTAGATCGTTTAGGAAGTTGCTAATGAATTTAAAACGGAAACACGGCAAGTGAACACTCCACTGCCAACTGATAATAAGAAAAAAATGTCTCGAATAAATCCGTCGATATATTTTGAAAAGACGTTCGTAAAATAGCGACCAGTAATTTGTCATTTCTTGTGAAACATCGCTTTATTTTATTTTATTTTTTTTTTGCCTGATATGTCCATTGTGTTTACGAAATATTCCTTCGATTCAAGAACTGTTGTCGGAGAATATTCAAATCTTTACCACTTGAAATCACACTGGATAAAAAAAAAACCACATTGTCACTAATTAGCCCACGTCTTCCATCGATGGTAAAATATGTTAATAGAAGTAAAACGATAAGATCATTTGAGTACATATAATCGTCAGGAAAAACATCCGCCTTCATTAAGCTTACCGCAAAAAAATGCACCTCAGTTTTCATCTCACGTTCAAATCTCGAAAAAAAGATAGGTGTGAAGCTGGCCAAACATTGTATGAAAACAGATCGAATTTTCACAGAAATTTTTAAATCTATTAATAGCGTTTAAAAGAGAATTGAAGAAAAAAGTAAATCACCTCGCTAGCAGAGCAAGGATTTGGAGAAGAACGGCATTCGACCAAATGATAGAATTCTCGGCATTACATATCTAGGTCGAATCTACAAAACAACGTAAAAATCAGAATAAGATACATCTGTTAACTTCGATATTTGCTCGAGAAGCCGTAAAAAAAATTATAAAAAAAACGGAATGAAACGTTCGTTAAAAAAATGTCATTAAAAAACGGATTTAAGATAATTTTTTCCCCGAGACCGGAAGAGGCATTTCCTTAGTTTTTGCATATATAGATTCAAGCCCGACCAACCTTACGAAATTCTGCTTTCGTGTGATCGACAGGATCAACTATGAAGACTATAATTTTGGGCAGTTTTATCTCAATAAAGTACCTAATCACTGTAAAAATGGGAATCCGTCGTTCCATCACGTATATTGTACTCGGCGGGGGAAAAATCACATCATTTCATTTAGTTTCGAAGCATTTTTTTTTCTCGAGAAATGGAGAAGTGGTCGTTAATGTCTTTTAGTTCAGGCAACATCTCATTTATATTTAAGTTACCACGGAGCTTCTAAAAGTATATCAAGACAGCTTATCCCTTAGGCTAAAACGAATTTAATAGGCGAGAACAAGTTTTGACAAAGAAATCCGAAACGTTTCAATAAATTTACAACATGCAACACGCTGAAATCAAATTCATATACATTTTTTGGCCTTTTTTCAACGAATTAATTCAAAATGATATCAACCAGATTGCAACGTGTGACTGTGAAATGGAATATTTCAAATTCGGCACGCACAACATAAACTGTTACTTAATCATATCGAGATTTGTGTCTGTTTCGTTTTCTGTAATGAAAGATCACCTGCATATCATTAACAACACACAAGAGTGAATGATGAAGATTCACTCGAAATTGAAACGTGCATCTTTCCGCGCCTACCTGAGGTATTCCATAAGCACTTAACAGCCCACTGGTCGCCATTGTGCTGTTTGAAAAGTCTGGGCCCACGACAGCAATTACTCCGCAACTTTCACCAGTGAGAGTCACTGAGCAGTTCCCCACAGACACGCCATCTTGCTCCGCAGCGAGTATATCGAGCACTTCTTTCGAAGCCAATGCAGGGCTGGAGCAACTGTCTCGGATATCATAACCGATTGTAACATCGCTCGGCGAGGCACCAAAGTTGTGCACGTTGACTGCGTAGACCAATGCCTCCGCCAGTAACAGTCCTTCGCCTCGCACAACTTTGCACTCCGGGCCTTGAGTAACAGGGACCAGGGTGCCAATAATAAACTTGCCGTCTTTGAATCTCCTCCAACGCCCAATAGAGGAATTAACGGGTAAATAGAACGCAAAAACCAAAAGAACCACTGCGATTTTCATGCTGATATGAAAAGTCGCTCGAATGGCTGAATTGTTTTTTTTTTTTCGATGCACTTAACTCCTTTTTAGCTTATTAAATGAATGCGCATTTAAATTGCTAAATATCACTCCCCGTACTTGTATTTTAAGCATAAATTTAAGGATGTCTGACTTTTTCTCCAGCACTGTTTCATAGACTACAATTGTTCAGCCAAACGTGATCTCCAGGAATTTCGGTTCCACGGCGCGTGTAAAGGAAGGACTTTTTCTTGCAGGGTGCTAGTTTGCCATGCAAAAATTAACTCGGTCTGAAATTCGATCGGCGAATATGTGCAACTTCGAAGCGAAAATGCAGATTGCAGCAACACCTCAAAGAACGAGCTCGTCGACCGAAAAGATCTTATTGTAACATACGGATTTTTAACAACTGCTACAGCGTGCGACAAGTTTATTATTGTCAGTGACGCCAATCGTTTGACAATGTTTCAAGTAGGAGGAAAATTAACAACAAGCCAGCCACTAGGGTTAGCCATTAGGGGCCATCAATAACTTCACATAGGCGGGGCGTGTTTACAAATGGCATAAAGTACAAGTCAACAAAACAGGTGCAGTGCTTTTGCGGAAATGAAACACTTTCGCGGTGGCGGTATAAACCGAACAGTCAATTCAACTTGAGTGAGATTTGTGACTTATTGTGAACATACAACTTTTTCGGGGAAAACGTGACAATATTAAAAGTGGTTTTCGGAGGCAGCTTCTGGTTTTGATAATTTGTACAAGCGCCCAGTGCCGGCCCAAGATTGATCGAGTGTAGCGTCGCTTCACTGAAATGAGTTAGACTAAACTAATCTCCTCACAATGGAGGCAGCCGATATTAAAACTCGTTTCTATACAACAAACAGGATGGAAAAAAGACGACCCCGCGAGTTCCGAAGCGAGCCGTGTTCCAAAATAACTTCAATTTTCTGCTGTTTTCGTTTTCTCTAATAAATTAATGCTAAGCAAACTGCGTAATTATCTGATATTTTGAAGAGTCTCATTTCAAATTGGAAACACGCTGAATAACAGGAACACCCGCTTAATAAACCTAGAACAAAAACATAAATAAACATCCAAAGCTAACCAAAAAATTTGATAGGAGCTTGTCGAAATAACCCAATACAAAGCGCATATTTCCAGCTTACCCCCCAAAAAAGAAATTTCTGGGACGCAACGAAACGACAAATTACAATTCACAGCAAGAATTTTTTAACAATTTAGGGTTTTAATACCGCATGAAGTAAACCGCATTTTTTTTTTAGAATTCCCAAAAATTGCCGAAATTGTAGCTTCTTGCGGCTTCACACGAAGTGCAGAAATTTCGTTAAATACTTAAAAATCACACCAAAGCGACACAACGAGCTATATTCCAGTTAGAGCGTTTTGCGTTTATATTCAAAAGTTGCTACAGCATTCAAACAGGGTTGAAATCCACGGATTTTACAACAACGATGACACAACTGTCGCTTGGCGAATCGAAAGCAATGCTATTTCGGTATGAGATAATTTTGTTTCCATCCGGCATCAAGTTCGAAAGTTGTCAAATGGAAGGGTGGAGGGGTGGGGTGGGGGAGGGGCGCCGAACAAACTTCAACGTTCAAATTATGATTAATTTAAAACCCGCCGCTTTTTCAATTGCGCCTGCTGCAGGCTAATGGCTTTATTCATTCAAACCGAAAACAAAAAGCGACTTGAAAATTTAAGAAATCGAACTCCTCATAAATTATTACAGACAGCACTTTTTGTTCATACATATATTATTTCTCCTACGCACGGCTTCGTTCGCTAAATGTGTTTACTAATAAATTTTTCACTTATTAGTAAAGTTAGCAGTAATTTGTAAATCAAGGTTTGAATAGTCTCAAAAAAAAATTATTTTATTCATTTCCGATATCTTTGACAAATAGAGCTGAATAAATGTTCACAGAAGACATATTAAAAATATGATTTAAATATTGCATGCATATTTAAAAAAAACAATGTTTGTAAACACTTTTCCAAAGGTGCCCGATGTCTGTAAACCACATTTTCGCTGAAAGGAACAGACGCCAATCTATCTGACGCAAAAAGGCTTGGATAAGTTACGCTAAAGCAATATCAAGCATTAATATAGAGCAGTGTTTGACAACTTGCGGAAGAGAGCATTCTAAGTGAATGACATGAAAAAAAAATCAAGATTATTTGAAAGTCCTTTCAAAATGCGGAATGATAGTCTGTCTGTTTTGGTCATATCCTGTCTAATCCGAGAGATATTCAAGTTTTTTGTGTTATGCAAATTAGCTGACAATCATTGTCTTAAGGTGCAGGCAGGATGGGAACAGATCATAAAATAGAACAAGAGAAATCCTTGAAAACACCGGAGGAAGGTATATGAAAATAAGTACAGAGACCTAGCACAGGATTCCCAAGCTTAGCACAGACAAACCAAGCTAGACACACCAAGCTAGACACACCAAACTTGGCGCAAACACACAAGCTCAGCACAGACGCACCAAGCTAGACTTAGCAACCTCTTGGGCGAAAACCGGCGCAGCTCAGTCAACTCTTGAACGTGGGTTGTGTCTGGCATTAAGCATGAGCGCGTGCTTTCTCGTTCGTTTTGTTTTATTCCACAACAGCAATGGCATGTTTCTTTCTCTCCGCCACATGTGGCACGCTTCCAGGTTTGCTGTGTTGTCGTTGGTTCTCTTCCCTGGAAAAGAAAATCACAAATTTACATCTACCACGGTCAATATAAATGCGAACCGCTTTTCTTCTGTGTAACAGTCTTATCTTAATACGCGCGCTATGATTAGTCAATTTAGCGGGCCGCACAGTAGATTACGGCCCGCCAAAATTCAAAGCTGTTTTTGTTGGTTGCCAGTGTTTCGTGATTTGTCGCCCAGTGTTCTTTTATAGCAAGCAAAAGTTTAAATCTTTTTTTTACTTTAAACTGTGCATTAAAACGTGCTAACGACTTAACTACGATTTCAAATTGACTCCGTTTGTTTTTGACGTGCGTCAGAAATTTGATGCCGTTCCGCGTGAATATAAATCGTTTCCGAACCCGTCAGACACAGAGTAGAGATATAATAAATATCTTACTAACCTCGTCTTCTCGACCCGTACTGTAAATTAAGGATCCTCGTTTTCTTTCCCCTTTGATTTATGGCCCGCGCGCTTCGCGCATGGGCCATAAGTCGACGGGGAAAAACCTTACAATACAGACTTCGACGCTCAGTTAGTAAGAGGTATATCTTTCCATTATTTCATTCGTAGCTGCTTGGGGCATTCGCCACTTTGATGACACTTGACCCAGTTCTCTTCTCATGTCTAACTGGCAATTTCGTGAAAAATTTCAGAAGTGTATCAGCTCTCGTATTGAAGCTCGTAATTCTATTTGTCGTCATAGTGTAGCAGCTGTTATTGTTTTGGGGCTAGGAGCATTCTTTCTGTTGTTTGTTCTATTGTTCTATCGAAGGGTACCAAGCCATTCATGTGAGGCTTTGCGAGAGCTGCTAACTGACACGAAAGTTTGGGATGTAAATGAAAATCTTCCCAACAACTTCGGCAATGCTCCAGTCAATTTGTCAATCCCGAACCATGCATCATCTTTTGAAACCATATAGTGTTCAGATCATCTTCGGACTCCGAGCTCATGGAAATTCAGATCCCGATGATACCCTACAACTTGCTCTACCACCAATTTCGCTCTCTACCTTTTCTCATGCCTTCATTTCCGCACTTTTCTTGACTTAAACCCTCAAGCTTTCATGTTAAAATAAAATACGCCATATAATCTACATCGAAAAGGTTTTTATTAATACATACTTTCTCTTTATTGACGCCAGTATAATCTTTTTCTCCTTGGCTGCCTTGAACACGGCTTTAGGAACATGACGATGTCTAAAACATTCAAACAAGAGTGATAAAATAAGGGAGAGTAAAAGAAAGAGAACATTAACATAAGTACATTCAAGAAGATTAACTCACGCGCGTGTTGCGAATTCCACGCGAGAATACGCACGAGTCGCGTGAACATTTCGCGTGAACATAATAGTCGACGAGAGTTCCGACTTCTGCTCTCGTTAAGGTTTGGTGACAAACTCTCGTAAATTGTCCTCAACTGCCGTGCGCTACAATCGCATCCGAACCTGCTCAAGTATTCGCGAAAGAAAACCAGAGTTTTCGCTCGTTTGACACACTGATGATGTTAAAAGGTTTTGCACACTACCGATAACCAAGTTGTGCGCTCGTTGATGAAGCCGTCGATAGTTGAAGAACACTCACATCCAAATTCCAACCCTCAAAGCATTGATCGATTTTCGATCACCTCCGATCCCCATTCTATCTGATTCACTGAACAATTACAATTGCGTAGAAATATTAAAAGTGTACTGTAGAAAAGACATGAAATCGGGAAAAAAAAGTCCGAGTCCAGATGGGATTTGAACCCACGACCCTCCGTGATCTAGTCGGACGCTCTAACCACTGGGCTACTGGAGACTCTATGGTGAGCAAGGGTGAATTGTGGGTCTTGAACGGAACCGCACCGCGCGGTCACACAAATAATGACTTGGCAAATATAAACTCATAACTACATCGCGCAGTCACACTGAGGCATATCAAAGATGCAACCAACCACCCCCCAAAGTGAGTATTACAAGAAATATTTAAAAAAGTCTTGCGACTCTATAAAAGCAAGGAGCAAACTGCGCGAGAGAAAACGGCCGCGCAAAATCCTAACACCCCCCCGCCACATGCGCGCGCCACATTTCGCGCGGCCATATTTCTCCCATGCTTTTTTCCTCGCGTCACGCTCGAAAAACTAAGCCAAAGAGACCGCTCGTAATCTAGCAGATGGTCAGCATGGGGCTACATTTAAACTTCAGCTTCTCCGCTTATCGGACAAAGCAGCTGCGATTTCAGTGCGATTCTCCACTGCACTATATCGGAGATTTTAGAGAATAGACACGTAAAGGCAAGGTTCTATATTGGAATAAGGAGGTTTTCTACCTTTTTATTCTTTTTAACTGCGGGTGATGCTGAAATCTTTCCTTTAATTTAGCACTGTAGCTGAATGCTGCTCTTTCTCGTGGAGCAAGCTGAAAAAATAAAGAGATCTAAGTATCCAGCCAAATTTCCTAAAAAAATAACATAAAGTTCGAAAATTACGACCAAAATTCTTACCGCTCCCAACTTCTGTGAAGAATTCGCTTTCCAAATCCTGGAATCAATTAAAAAAATTAATTAGACGTTTGTACAGGAAATGCAACAGGCTACAATGAAAGTAAACGATTGTTCCAACAGGAAAGTTACCGTAAAACCATCTAAAGCAAACTACACAATGTGATAACTTTTAGACAACGGCTTTTCACTCTCAAAACGCATCAAATGTGTTTCGTCCACACTACGCCGGAGGAATTCANAAAATTACCTTTAAATGAAAGGAAACCTGAAAATATTAGTTTACTGAGATAGGAAAACACCAAAGGAATTAAAATTATACAATAAAGGAACAAGGATGGTTAAGGATGGACAAGATTGACACGGATTACAAACGACGAACTTGAAAATTTTAGGCTGCACTTTTCAAGTTTCGGAAACCGTGACGTCGCTCCTTCAACATTAGTAAGTACACCAGAACAACTTTTCCTGAGATAATCCTGCAGTGTAGACTCTGGAAATGTATCAAAATTTACCTGATATTTGTTTCATCGCTACCAGAGAGAACATAGGTTGAATCAGCGCTGAACCGCACGCAAAACACGCGCTGCATTCGACGAGTGTGGTACACTTCCCTGTCAAAGTAAATCAAAGCGGTTGGCGTCAAAATCGAAACTAAAACAAATGGACTCTTCTTCACCCGCGCTTTGAAACACACCTCACCTGCTTCGTCCAGAATCCCGCTCAAAAATCCTAATAGTTTTGTCGAAACTCCCCGTCACAAACTCCTGACCGGTGGGAGAGTAATCCACGTCAAGTACGGCCGACACGTGATCCATGTGCACGTTGATTGGCTGGTTAAACCGACGTATGTCATACGTGTACAGATTCGAATCCTCATTGGCTGCGGTGAAGACGAAAGCTTCGAGTGGGTTCCAGGCTACCGTGTTGCTTCTCATCGCCATAACAACCTTGCGCAGTGGAGTGGAACCGCGCATGTCATACAGGATAATGCTACGGTCGGACGCTGTGCTGGCGAGAAGATGGCTCTAGGTATGAAATGACACTGGGTTTAAACAAACATACCGCCTTGTCGCAGATCACGTGGTCACGCCTGTTTGAGGATTCTACGTTGATCTAGTTTGTTACCAGATCAAGGGTTGAGTTTCAAGAAAAAATAATCGCACTGTATTTGCAGGCAATTGAAACGTTTAGTTCAGTTAGTCAATAAGGAAATTATCCAACATTTTAAGTGGTGAAGTCGCCTTTATATTCAAAACTTCCACTGGAATATTATTTTGATCCCGTAAAGACGGAACGTTGGAGGTTAATAAGTTGCTTCTTATACGGCTTTTTGCCTTTTGCTTTGCGTTTTGTTTTGTGGGCATTACGGAAGAATAATGCCCTACAATTAGCCAATCACAGCACATGTTATATCGGCTACAATAACAAGCCATACAATAATAGCTTCTTACTAACCAAGCCCAGGGGTTATACTGGAAAATAATGGCCCCAGGCCATGGCAGTGCTGGCTGAGCGCAGCGAGGTCCATACAATATTGCCCAGTACGGCTCAAGCTAGATTAGTAGGTACAGTTGAACCCCTATTAAACAGCCACCCTCAGGAAAATGGATAGTGGCCACTTAAAGGGGCCTGGCCGCTTAACAGAGGTAAAAACAATAGAAAAGCAATCATTGCGAGTTTGATTACAGGCCGCCTAAAAGGGGTGGTCATTTAATAGGTGGCCGCTTAATAGGGGTTCGACTGTAGTTTATTATCAGGCACTCGAGAACTGCATTTGCTGCCTTTTGAAAACATAAAATAAACACAGCTTATGACCATTTTCATGGAAACAGACTGTATGGCAAAATCTAGACAAGCAAAGAACCAATCAGAATGCTCAAATTTACCGCAAGACTCTCTTGCCATATAATAATAAGTATTAGTATAAATCCACCAGCATTCCATCACAAATGCCGTTCCCTGATTGGCTATGTTACTCACTGTCTATTCTGTTGTAAATAGTGAGTAGAGTAGAAGTGCACGCTTGTTGTCAACATAACGGTCATTTCTTTGTGCTTTTTAAATATCTGTGAAGAGAACTTATATTAAATTTTGAATGACTAGTAGATTTATACTAAAACAACTGGATTATTTGCTCTCAACTTTTATGTTGCGCCCTTGTCAACCATCACATGACAGAAATCTCAAGCTCATAATCTAATTGTTTAATATTACTGTGGAATGTAAAAGATTAAGCAGTCATACATACCTCTATGGGATTGAACTTGACGCTGTGTATAGTGTCCACGCCCCATGTGAAACTCCGTACAGGTTCAGCTCTGTTCTCATCCCAGATGTCAACTTGGTCTCCACATGTTGCAAACACGGCTTTCTTCCAGTGATGATCAATGCCATGGTAGAGATTCTACAATGAAAAATGACTGTGATATCAATAGGATTGATGTGAAACTAAAGATTTTAATCCTTTATTAGAAAATTGGCTGATGCTTCACATAATTTTTGCAAACTTTGGAACTAAACAAAACACTTGTCGCTGATTTCCATTCTTAGAATGTTTTAAGCACTGCCAAAAGTGTCATCTTGGTAAAAAGTGTATTACCCGTGCAAAAAGACATTAATGAAAATGTGAGGGTCACCAAGCTTGTTTTCAAGTTTAAATAGTTATCATTTGAAATTCACTAAAAAATGAAAGCGCTTTTGCTAGGGTATGCAATCATCATTGCAACAATGCATGTACAGGGGGTATACTGCTGTTTAATGTGTACATGACTTTGTAACCTAACTTCATTCCTGAAGAATCGCAAATTGAGGAATTTGTTTCCACTGTTAAATGTTGCCTACAGTGGGACTGTGACAACTGCACATAAACATGAACAGAAGAAAATTAGCATTTGCTTCACAATACCTTGCCAATAATTGTGTTGATTGGAGCTTGTGAAGTCTCAAAATTGATATCAAAACTCTGAGCCATGTTCCACTGTTTTATAACTTTATCATCACCAACCTGAGGTAGAATAACACAACGATGTAACTTGGTGACAAAAGAAATTAATATACTGTGAATCCTCAAATTAGCATCTCCCCTCAAATAAGCACCCCCTTGGAATAAGCATCCCTGTCTTATGGAAGAGTACTGAGACAACAAAGGATGTACAGTTTTGGTCATGTTTGATCACAAGCAAGTCATTTTTGACTCATTCAAGCAATGCACATTGACTGTTGCAACGGATGGTAGACTGTAAAGATCTGCTGATTCATTGCTAAAGCCCATCCGACTTTGTCAAGCCTACTTGTCGTCCCTCCTACAACAATACCACCTGCAACAGAGCCTACGCTCATCCTCTAAACTTCTTTTCACTGTCCCTACTGTGAACTCTGCGACATACAGTGAATGTGCCTTTTCTTTCTCCGCACCTACATTATGGAACAGTCTACCGGATTCTGTTAAAAATACAACATCTCTTTCGTCTTTTAAATCTGCCCCCAAAACATTCCTGTTTCAGAAATCTTACTNTTGCCAAAAGTGTCATCTTGGTAAAAAGTGTATTACCCGTGAAAAAAGACATTAATAAAAATGTGAGGGTCACCAAGCTTGTTTTCAAGTTTAAATAGTTATCACTTGAAATTCGCTAAAAAATGAAAGTGCTTTTGCTAGGGTATGCAATCATTATTGCAACAATGCATGTACAGGGGGTATACTGCTGTTTAATGTGTACATGACTTTGTAACCTAACTTCATTCCTGAAGAATCGCAAATTGAGGAATTTGTTTCCACTGTTAAATGTTGCCTACAGTAGGACTGTGACAACTACACATAAAAATGAACAGAAGAAAATTAGCATTTGCTTCACAATACCTTGCCAATAATTGTGTTGATTGGAGCTTGTGAAGTCTCAAAATTGGTATCAAAACTCTGAGCCATGTTCCACTGTTTTATAACTTTATCATCACCAACCTGAGGTAGAATGACACAACAATGTAACTTGGGTGACAAAAGAAATTAATATACTCTGAATCCTTAAATTAACACCTCCCCTCAAATAAGCACCCCTTTGGAATAAGCATCCCTGTCTTATGGAAGAGTACTGAGACAACAAAGGATGTACAGTTTTGGTCGTGTTCAATCACAAGCAAGTAGTTTTTGACTCATTCAAGCAATGCACACTGACTGTCGCAATGGATGGTGGACTGTGAAGATCTGCTGATTCATTGCTAAAGCCCATCCGACCTTTTGTGACAGGCCTACATTGTAGACCAGCTAAAGGGGGTTATATTACGTAGTGCCTCAAGAGAGACAGGATCCTTCTGAGACTTATGAGGGACTGACCCATACATACATTGCAAAAAACCTGAACATATCTGACCATGATTTGGGAAAAACTTAGTAAGTGCCCCCCTCCTCATTCGAGGATTTACGGTAGTCCTTAGGGGTTTGCTTAAGATAATATATAAATGTTAATAAGAAATAAATAAATGAAAATCATAATTGACCATAGCCCAATGGGGCTTTTCAGGGCCTATGGAAACAAACAGTGAAACAAATGTTTAAAATAAACACAAAATCACAACAAATCGCAACTGGCTTGACGCAGACAAGTTGGCTATTTCCAAAGCATAACCCAGGAGTTGAACTCAGGACCACTGAGGACAAATCCAGCTAGTGGTAAAGGTGGAGGGCTCAGAGACCTTCAGATTACAAGACCAATGCCCAAAACCTCTTGGCCACACCCACATGAACAGGTAACATGCCATGATTTAGCCAGAAATGTCAGAGTATCTCTGCCCTAAGCCAGACAGCAACTGTGTAATGCAGGACAATGCAAGCAGCCTTTATAGCGGAAACAAAAACTACTTACAGAGATGAAAGAATCTCCAGATGGATTGGCACACAAACCACGTACAAAACCAGTGTGTGCTGTTAGCGTCTTCAAGCATTCCCGCCTTGGTAAACTCCACAAGCGAATCTAAAATAAGTTCAGTATTAAGCCAGTCTTTCGTTAAAACAGGCAACTGATCTCTATCATTTTATTTTCCAGTCCAACCTTTTAACACTAGATTATAGCAGTATATCCAGGATCCAATTTTTTTTGTTGTTGGCATCTTTGAAGTTTGCTTCTCAAACTCATTAATAACTTGCACTCTTTGCAAAAAGTTATACATAAGCGAAACAGGGAGATGACTAGGTGACCGATTCCGAGAACACCTTTGTGAGGAAGAGAAAGATGACAAAAACACATCGAAACCGATCGTGAAATGCTTTAATCAACCCAATCATTCTAAGCAACATAATTATGGCAGTCTGTGGCTTTTCCCTACATCAAGGAAGCAGGGAAAGCCGCAAAACTCTAGAACAAAAATTTATTTTTCAAATTGGCACTCTTAATCCTCATGGTATCAACGAATGCTTTTCATTCAACTAATTTATTCTGTTGTTTTTCATGTTACCATGCACCAACCAATAGTGTAGCTCCATCTTTCTGTATACAAACCACACACAACCCACACACAACCCACAATTCCTTGATTCGCTCTGACGAAGGGCTAACGCTCAAAATGTCAGCTTTTGAATCTCTTTAAGGTGGCCAATTCACATCATCAACCCAGTTGATAAAACCAAACTATCTCATTAATAATTGACCATGTTTAAACAAAGGAAACAATGACTATGACAGTGCTTGGATATCTGATCTTAATTAGCATAAATTTTTATGATTTTATTTCTCCATTTTCTCTTTAGTTTTAGATATATCAAACACTAAAGACAGTGTTTGACCACATTACCAACCACCTCAAATTTTGTTAAAAATACTTCACTATGCATAATATTTTTAACTCTTTTATCGGTGTTTGGAAATGTGGTCAAACACAGTCCTTCCTGTTTCATATGCTACATCCAAGTGGTTCAAAAATTTTTTGGCTTCTTTTGAAAAGTATTCTGACAGACCCTGTTCCAGAGATTGCCCTCCATAGAGGCAGGAGGAGAGGTGGAGGTAAAAACTTGAGTGTCTCATTGATCCTTTAAAATTTCTTGCTCGAGCCTCTGGTATCGAGGCCTTGGAGTTGTAAAGGAGGCAACCACAACACTAACAGCAGTTCTATCATCATTTTGTTATTATATAACAGTCATTAGTGACCTCGCAACAAGTCGTCATAAAGGTTTTCTTAAAGTGGTGTTATACTGACAAGAGTCACGACAGCACGTGCCATGATCAAAGACGCTTTGCCTTGAAACTTTAATAACCACAGCTATAACATATAAACGCTTACCTCTCCATCACAAGATCCAGACAGTAACACGGATAAACTCCTAGGGTGTCTAGCAATGCAGTGTACGCCATCCGTGTGCCCGTCTAGCGAACTGACAAACGGTTTTGCGAACACGCGTTCGAGTTTCACAGCGTTAAGCGCCCTCGTGTACTCTCTCGGTGCTTCAAAAGGATGCAATGATGGGTCAAGATTACGATGAAGCTTGTGAATATCTGACCTGCTCTCTCGTATGTACTCAGCTGGGTTCCTTGAAAGGACTTTTACCTTCATTTTTTAAGGCCTAAAAGTCTCAAAAAGACTTCCATAACGTCTATAAAGCCGCCGAAGCCGCCATGTTTCTTTTTGTGTCGCCCGCTCATTGATCAGCGGAAAAATAGGCCTCGTCTTGATGTTGAGATATTCTTTCAGTTTCCATGACGACTTCCCGCGCAAAATAAGAGAAGAAAAAGATGGCGGAACATGAAGCGATGTTTTGTTTGTAAAGATCTCTAGTTTTAAGCTAGTACAGTTAATTGTTTGCTTCGTGATTTACCGTTATTATGATTTGAGCAATGGTAAGTTTAAATTAACAATTCTTGAGGCTTATTTGTCGAAATATTTTAGGATTTTTGCGTTGACGAAACAAGTCGTATTCTGAAGCTTCGAAGTTGTTGACTTTGGTGTATTACTCTCACGACACTCATTCCTTACTGCGTTAATCCAACAGGACAAGTCGTCATCGAGTGTTAAACTACCTAACCTAGAGAAGAAAAGTTCGCCGGTAGGAGATGGTGACAGAGAGAGATTCCACGCAAGAAACTGGAAAGCTCTGAGCAAGAAGGAGATCCAGAAGTTGCCGCCACAGCAAAGGAGTAAATACCTTGCTGTAAGATACAGATGTTTTCGTTTTGCTTGTTAATAGTAATAGAATAGTGTTTTGTTTTGGTGATGAACAGGGGACAAAAGACGATCCACGATTTTTCACTAGTCTGTGGGGGATTTCCCAGGGAGGTACTAAAGACATCCGCAATCGATCGATTGATCTCCTCGGTCGGTACTCGATCGACATCTGATCTCAGTCGTTACTCAGACACTCAATCAACACTTGATCAACATCTCAATGGACACTCAATTGACAGTCGATAGTCGGTCTAGCATCGACCAACTCATCTGTATTACTTTTGATCAACACTCAATGCCATGTCTGCGAAAATTAGTTGATCCTCGACTCACTATCGACCGAGATGTTGGTCAAGTGTCAAACAAGGTGATGATTTAGTATTGATCAGGTGTTGATCAACGGTTGACCAAGGGTATCGATTGACACTCAAGACTCAACTTTTAGTACACATAATCTGGGATGTGTTCATCTGTGGCTTCAGTATTCAGTAAACAGACCTCTTCCTCAGTGAGCACTCAGTCATTTACCCTACATGGAAGTTGTTACCGGAAGTCTTTTGTTGGGAGCAGTCAACACCTTACTATGAACAAGTCCATCTGTTATCTCATGTAAGACTTAACTGACCTACAATCACGGACAAAAGTCCTTGGGACACTTATGTTATTTAACGAATTATCTGTGTTTTAGTYCTGAAGTTTGAAAAAAACGCTGCTATATCTTTTAAAAATGCSTTGCTGATCCCCCTCCCCACCCAACACAATGTTGAAAATCAGGTGAAATTGCAGGTACTAGTTTTCAACATTGTATGGGGGGTGGGGGGCGAGGTTAGGCAGGTGAAGTTGTATTAGCGTCTGGAGTGTGCGCAAAATCGCCAAAAGTGCAAATTTGTCCCAAGACTTTTGTCCATGATTGTAGTTAAACTTGCTCGGGATCGACACCCAATTGATAGTATAACTTTGAAATATGTTGCAATGTACATAATTCTGATAATGCTTCAAGCTTAATTTGTAAATGTATTTTTCTGTGCAGTATGAGCCTGCCCCTAAAGAATGTGGTGAAGCTATGTCTGCAGCAAGAAAAAGATTAAAAGACTTGGAAAAGTCAAGACGAAAGTAATTTTTCTGTTCTAACCTTTGCAGTTACTGTATGACAAAACCCAATCACAATACTATACAAAACATACAGACAACTACAGACATCCCAAGGGTATTCCTATGGTTTGGAGGTGGGGATGCTATGGAAAATTTGAATTACCCCTAATGGGACCAGTCTAGACATGGCTTTTGAAAGCTTTATTTGAGTCCTTGAAGACAATACTACACATTTACCAATAAGACCTAACAAGATTTAAATCACAGTAAGGTCATTGTCATTGGAAACATGTAGAGATTTTAAAGATTTCCTGCAGGATTGATCTTATCCATTAACACAATATGACAGGGTTTGCTTAATTCTTTGCATGCAACTCTTATGACTTAAAGATACCTTAATGGTTAAAAGACTTTGGCACTTCTTCCTGAACACCTCTAGTTTTAAAACCCAAACTTGTCAGTTTCCCTGCCCCTTTCAAATGGAAGTAGCCCCCTGGGCAGGAAGCAAACAGCTGGAGTTAGTTCTTGTTTGCAACATTTGTCTTACCGGTAATTTAAAGTGCCATACATGTAGTCTCTGCACGCTGTATTGTAAAACTTGTGGTGCAATAATGGACGAAACCAGCTAAAAAATTAAATTGGCCTCTTTCCACTGTAAAGTTGCTCAAAATTTCACCACACCCTTAATGATTTTCCCAACATTTTAAATTAATTTTATTAATTATTCATCAATTTAATTCTTGATTATCCATGCCCTTAAAGACCCCGGGGAAGGTTTGTAAGATCCTCAAGGATCGATCATTGTACACTGATCGATACACTGTATTTAGATCCTAATAAAGATCCTCAACGATCTGTAATATGATTCTCAAAAGAATCATCCTTATTAAGATTTTACCAGGGATGTATGCTGGAATGGTTCTTTTTTTTAACTAATTTTATCATGTATTTGTTTTTTGTTGTTTTTTTAAGACAACAGAAACCCCCACCTATTGAGGAAGTTATTGAAAATGAAAAGCACACAAAGATAATAGGACAACTAAAGTAAGTATGGTTTTTAAATTTTCAAACTCAGATAAGACACTCTAGATTTCTGATTGGTTCACTGAATCTCGATTATCAGCTGTTACAGGTATACCTGTGTTTGACCTGATGTGGAAAATTACAGTGGCAAGTGTTGCTTAACTTAAAGTTTTTCAGCAGGATGGGAAAGTTCAGTCAGAAAAAAATGGCCAGAAAAGTAGCTTTGGGGAGCTTTCTATCACTGGGATAGCTGAGCAATGCCATCCTGGAAACTAGAAAACATCACAGAATGTCACACTTTGTTTGATATAAAAATACAGACATAGGTTAAGCTTTTTCTCCAAGTCATCAGAACATATTTCATCCCCCAAGTCACAAACTTTAAAAACCCACAAGGCCTTCACATCTCATTATCACCATTATACCTGAGTAGCCTCTACCCCTCTCCTCCCCCTGTGGAGTCTAGGGAATGGAGGGAAAGGTGTCACATAATACAATTTTCTGATAGACATCCATGATCTAGTCTCCCTTATCAAAAAAAAGAAACGAAAACACCAAGAAAAGAAAAAAAAAGCTATTTTGGGAAAAGTATAAAAAGCTCTTAATTTCATATACAACATAATGACCAGAACCTATTAATTTTGTACATGTATTGTTAATAACTTTTCTTCGTTCTTACATTTACAGAGCTGCTGAGGCAAGAAACAGAATAAGGCTCATGAGACTCCGATATCAAAACAACAGGGTAAGTTTAGCCTGTGTGCGTAAAATAGCAAGAAATTCGAACGAGCAAGGAGTTTCTCGCCTGCTAAAATTGACAGGGGGGGGTGGTGGGGCAGTAATTGCTTTTTGGTTCATACTGGAACACTTGCTTCAAGTAAGTTACTTTGAAAACATTTACAATGAGGGACTGAGAATACATGAAGTCACTTGCTACCTGGGAGTGGTTCTCATGAAACTGGAATCTTTTTCATTTAATATTTTTCAGAGTTCGGAAGTTACACATTTGATTTCCTGCCAGCCAACAGCACTCAAAGCTGTTCGTCTGCAAAGTTTAGTTCCTCCCAACCCTGACAAGATCTACATCAGGGATTTGTTGGTCAAAAACGAAGTAAGAATACATTTATTTTTTGTTGAAGATGCAGAATTTAGAGTAATATTGAATATGAATGAAAATATATTTTGAACTGCAGATAGAGTGTTAAGCTTAAATGATGTTCACAGTTGTGTTTGCAAAGCAAGCAATTTCAAAGAAGCCTGAAAAAGAAAATAACACTGGATTTTCTGAGACTTTCTGGCATGGTGTTTGTATTACTTTTCTTCTTCCCATTTGCCATTTTGTTCGTGTATTCTTTGGGATTCTTTTCCAATGCATTAGGGCACACTGCCGTTCTAAAGAACAAGGGTTACCCCTAAATCGCACCAGTGAAACAGTAACAAATTCTACAAACATTTAGAAACCATAATAGTTAAAATAAACACAAATGTTCTTTTGTAAATTCCTAAAAAAAAATGTTAGGTTACTGTAAATTCAGAAAGTTAAAACAAAGTGCAATTCTATTCAAAAGGGGACAAACTCTGCTAAACACATTAACATTTATCGGAGCTGTCGCGGTATTTTGAGTTATTTTGGCCACGCACAAAATTACCTTTACAATAAATTGAAACCTAAAAATAATAGTTTATTACTATAGAAGAGCACTTACGAAATATTAATAAACCATAAAGGAACAAGGATGATCAAGGATGGAGAAGATTGTCACGGATTACAAACGACGAACTTGAGCAGTTTCTGCTAAACTTTTCAACATGCGCAAGCCGTGACGCAGTTCCTTTAAGTAGTTGACGTATTTGTTTTCAGTAGAGTGGTAAAGCCTTATACTCCTTTACTAAGTATATCTGTTTTCTTTTTTCTTCTTAATTTTTAGCGGTATCGAGTAAACAGCTTGCTGGAAGATGAAACCGGATTAGAAACCGCGCGATTACTCACGTGACCCAAAGCAGAGTCTAACTCTGATTGGCGGAGAATGAAGCTTGATCACGTGCTCTTTGCGTGTGCACGTGAACGACCTTAAAGCGAACTATAAAGACTTCCGTGCAAAACAAGAGACTCCTTTACGAAAAAGTGAAACGATGAATTTGGTGTTGTGGTATTTTATTTCGTCCTCTCCCTCACTCACTACTTACTTAACCTGATGTCTTTTAAGTATGTAATATACATCAAGGATGTAAACTCTTTTTTATAGAAAACACATTCTTTAACTACTGTACGGTTCATACAATGTCAATATTTTTTTTTTTTGGGTGTACATAAACCCGTAACAACGTTCATTTACCTTATCAATAAATATATATGGGTTTTAACAAGACTGATTTAACTCTCTGTACAATATTTCTTTAAAAAATTATCCTTATTGAAAAATATAGTCTTCTTACACGAAATTTAATAGGGAGAAGTTACTCTTTTCAAAATTGTTCCTTCTGTGAGTCCAGTAACTATAAATGTCTTCCATTTCTTCTTGAGAAACACGAAAGGCAGTTAAACTAAGAACTCATTCACATGAACTTACAATGAACTTTCCTTTCATATGCTCTTTGGGGAACTTATGCAAGATTACTTGCTGAACAACACAGCTGAAGTAAACAGCTAAGAGTGAATAAAGCATTGTGACTTGTGCTTTTACGTCCTTCTGTTACCAAGCAAGTTACCAAGTCATTCACAGAATGGACTTTTGCACAGTTCCCTCTACAATGGGCTCTTGTCTCCGTTGTTTACAGTCAGAGCGTTCGAATCTTGTACGCAGCGCTCATTTCTCGACCGGTGGTGAAGGGTTCATAGAAAATGATTACCCGATACCGTCGCCGTGGCTTCAGGGATTGGTCCAAGTTGTTCGTCATCTTTTGCGGTTAACACGCGGTGTTGAGACGTGCGAGTACGACGGAATTGGCGCCGAAGGTTCAAACAGCGGCCTCTCATTTCTCGGTCTGTGACCAGCGCTTTGTGTTTTCACCTCTTCGTTATCTTCACTCCTGACCAACATGCAATGTTCACTACGCGATCTGGCAAAATTCCTGCTTCTTCGTTCAAGAACGTTTCTATCGAATTGACCAGTCATCCCTCTCCTTAGAATGTTTTTGGCGGGCTCTTCCCCAGAATCGTTACCATAGTGACGCCCGAGTGTTACATTCGGGAATGCAACGTGTTCGTTGGTCAAGTCGATAGCATAAGCAGGTGTAACCTGTCCTTTCCTTGGTTTGCTCTTGACCTCTTCGAACGTTTGAAGCGGGTGTTGTCTGGCGCGTTCTAGAACGTCTTGAGTACGAGCTCGTTGCGGTTTTCTCCCAGGTATACGGACGGTGAAGCCGTACCCGTCCCCCGTTAGGTAATCGAACTTAAACGAGTCCAGCTCTACAAGGTGTTTGGGGGAACTGGTCGGGAGGGTACTGCGCGGTTGAAAGGGGTGGCTCCCCAAGTTTGGATGGTTATTGGCGGCGAACATGTAATAGGCAACTCGTCTTTGAGCGGTGATGAAATTGAGCTCTGTGTCATCCGTCACGGCAAGGACTGGTGCTGAGTCTTGCGGCTCCTCAGCAGCATACTGCAAAACAAAAAGATACGATAATGTCAACTCAACGGGGGAAGGGTAGTGGACAAAAATGTCGACGGTCTCTATCTTGAGTGTCATGTTAACACGATACAACTGCTCACGGAACGAGTAAAAATTGCTATGTTTCATAAAATGCTTTCCAAATCATAAAATTCCTGCCCTTTGGGGAATGAGTTTTTTTTCTCTTTCAGAAATTTTCTATTGTTCGGAAACACGAAAAAAATGCAACGACTCCAAGATGTAGAAATTGGGGGACTGCTCGCATCTAGGGAAAGGAGTAAGGGAATGATGCTGTTTGAAGACTGTTGCGCATACGTTCCGCGATGTTCAAAACAGCACGACGTATTCTCGTCCCAAGCGATCCTCTTAGTCAGCCCTCTGAGCGGGTCCAACACTAGAAGTCCGCCATTCTCGGACTTTCCGTGGAATCTGACGAATCTGTATAGCTGAGAATACGAGTACTCTGTGCATGCTCAGAAAATCGAGTCTGAACGAAGGTCGCAATTCTTGGCGCTTACCAAAAGGTTCGCATCCTCTGGGGACAAGAATGAACACGACCTGGATAGCTCTCTACAGACACCAGGTTCCATAGCTGTTATTGCAGTTGAATCTGCGATAATGGGCGAAAAGGTCAATAACACGGAGGAATACCACAAACCAAAAAGTAACCTCTGAACAAGTCGAAAACCAGCCGCAAACAAAACTCACCTACACAGTAGTTAACTGTCATTTTGCTATCTAACAATCCAGACAGGACTTTTGCAATTTGTACTTTTTAGTTAGCATTTTCGTTGGCTTACCTTCACGAGAAAATCTCTTCTCTCCGATTCCTGCGTGCTACTCTGCTGCAATTCCTCTTTCTAAATAAGGAAACAAAAAGCACCAACTTTTGATGTTGTAGTTTCCTTGTTTTGGTTTGTTCTTTGTTAGCTTCCATATCGCTATGATCACTGCCATAGTTGCGTTCGCTGCAGAAAAAATTGAGCAATCCTACTGTATACTATGTAAAAAAAAAACCGTTGGTGACTGTATTGACGGGGTTCCACTGTACTATATAAAAAATCCTAACATAATCTAGAGTAACCACGTGTCCAATCAAAACAAACCTTACTAACCCAATGAACCAATCAGAATTCAAAGAAATACACAATTGGTGCCAAGCGCGCGAAAATGTAACGCGCGTGACTTCGGTTTTCTCCGATTCGCTGAATAAACAAAACCTTTGCTCTACCGTCACGCTACTACTTTCCAAAATCAGAGCGGCACTGACAATCACTTTCCAGAGTCAGGCAAAACAAGTTCATCATCCAAACAACAAACATCGCCAAACACAAAGTGCAAGACGCCGTGACGAAATGCGCCTAATTTTTCATTTTGGCAACCTTAGGCCGCATGGACTAAACGTCGATTTCATTTTATAAACAGCTTGACGCGCGCGCGCTTTTACCTTTCCGTTAGAGTCGCGCATACAGCCGTTCGTTTATGCAGTGACGTGTCACATAAAAAACTAAACTTAGCACTGAGGGAGGGGCGGGCCCGAAACCTCTGCCATAAAATTGAGTTTATTTTGGCACTGAATTACTACTACTACTACTGCCATTTACAATTCATTATCCAGTTCATTAAAGACAAACAACAACAAACTCAATCATTTTACCTTTTTAGCTCTTTCTTGAATTCTCTCCTGAGAGAAGATGGGGATGCCGCCATTGGATCGATTGACGTACGGATTTACAAACTTGCCAAAGTTTGTTTTCACCTTTTTCTGTTTACATAAATACACAGGAAATTAATTTAGTCAAGTGATATGGGTGAGGAATCTAAAATTAAGGTATTTCTAACAGCATTGCCAATTAGCTCTCAGGCGCAACGTGTATAAATAAAGAGTGGATTGATTGAATGATTGATTGATTGATTGATTGATTGATTGANTGTCTCGAGTCATCTTACAGGCCAGCTCTACAAATGCTTGGGTCATCTCACGCCTGACGCAAAACATATACAAAGAATCAGTAAAACAGGAAGAAGGTCTCACGAAAGTGAGTGACAATTCTAACGACTGTTTTCAGAGAAAGAGGAGGAGTCAATGCCCCCTCCCCCCCCCACGGGAGGATACTCCCATGCATAAGCTATATGGGTATATGCCGCTGTTAAGGGTATGGCTTTCGGCAGTTTAGTCTGGGATAGGATATAGAAATCAGACATTTTTGGTCTAGAATGGGGTAGGATTTACCGGAAAAGTGGTCAGTGTATAAATAATTTAGTCTAGAACAGGGTTCTTTACCCGGGACTCTGTAATAGAAATTTAAACTCGGAAGTGACTTTGTAAGATATTGGTTTAGTTAACGGTATGTTGGACTGCGATCCGCAGGGAAATAGCTAGTATGGGATAGGGTAGGGGTTTGGGGGGCGTAGTCTATTGAAAAGGGTTGCAAAATCAAGCTGATCAAGGTCTAGTATAGGGTAAGGGTTTCACCCCTATCCAAAGATTTANCCCCCCCCGATCAATAATCCATTATACAGCAGTGGCATAAATCAAGGGTTTTAAGCGGAAGCCAAGCGAAAGTTAACTTTGTTTTATCGGCATGCAGATCTTTTTGCTTGACGTAATTATGACATCAAAAGGAACAAGCCATTGTGCAAAGCACCTACGCTGACAAACTGGCCGCGGGCTCAGTCAATATCCGGGAACTTGACACTTACCGAAAATGATGTTGGTTCCTCGACACGCTCGCGATCCTACTAACTAAGCAAAGGAGGTCCATTTGCTTTTGATTATAGAATAATTATCTGTTTCTTACCGATTGCCATTCTTGGCTTCCGAGTATTCCAACAGAACTTCACAAAAGTGTCGACCCATCTCTTCGAAATCTCCCACGTGAAAATGCCTGCCTCTCTCCCTGTAAGAGAAACATTGTCATGAACATTCAAATCTACCAAGTTGAAGGAATATCGCTATAACTGAACTCTTTGTTTTCCAGCTCAAGATAAAACCATCCAGAGATACTGCTTGAAAAAGCAGGAAAATACATTTCAGACGTCCAAAAACGCATAGTTGAAGTGGAAAGTTCGGTTTTTTATCATACGGACCGACTCAATTAAGGTATATGTAAAAAAAGTTTGAAGTTCAGTCTCAGTTACCTAAACAAATCACCTATCGTTTGCACCCAAAGCTATACTTTATGGGCTTTCATATTTTCTAAGTCCTGTTATGTTCAAATTGCACTCCGAAAAATAAAATTAAATCGAAAATGAAACAAGTAGTCATTTTACGTTAACTCTTTCGATTCGCCTCAAAGACACATGCTACTCTTTAATAAATGTCATATTTGTCAAATAAAATCCATATCATGACAGCAATACACGCTGGTTTACTTACATGTCGCCGAAGTTTGCGCCACAAAATGTGGCCTCCATTGTGAAGCTGTTTGTAATTCCCATTTGGCGCCACATGACAACACGTGCTGTCGATTCCTTGCACTTACGCACACGGAACTTACACCCACTGAACGAGAACTTATCAGGAGCCTGGGGCAAAGGAAACGATATTTTGTTAAAAGGAAGGAAACATCTTGAGTTTAGCAAATCAATTCTAGCGAACTGAAGTTCTCACTACATAATTTGTTCACAAAGATTGTGAAGTCACTCTCGCCGAAGGAAGAACGAAAATACCACGAAAATGTTTCAGCAAAACGGAACTTGAATCACAAGTCTCACTCAGGAAGAATCACTCACGAATCACTCACTCAACAAGAATCACTCAAGCATTGACCTAACTTAAACCTGGGCCAAATGCAAAAGAGTCGATAACAGGTTAACCTTCGATCGCTTAACTTTGGATCGAACAATCTGTTGTACTGGACATCCTCAGGTTTGAGGCTCTTCAAGTTTTTTTTTTCTTTCCAGTCACTGGTGTCATCTCTTGACAATATTCGTTCCAGTTTGAAAAAATAACGAATTATTATTACTATTTTTAAATAATAATAATAATAATAATAATAATAATAATAGTAATAATAATAGAAAACAAACTGCGGTCACAAACATGACAAAACAACTATGTAAAACGTCCCCGCAAATTCAAATTAAATAAACGCGTTCTTGTGAACGTTATCTGAATAATTGCAAACATATACTAAAAAATGCTCAAAACCGGTCGCGGTAAACTCGCACGCACGGATTGCAGACCTGTCTTTTAGCGGAGCTCCTGCAGGCGGAGCCCCATATCTGAGAAAATTTAGGAACCCATCGATCTGAAAAATTTTGGTTGTCACGTGACTGTCCGTACGTCCGTACGCAAATACCTTGAAAAATAAGAGAGTAGCACATTACCATAGCTACATCTTTGATTTGGGCATCCATGTTATGGTTAATAGACAGCTGTCACAACAAGCTATCCGTTGATCAGTATCACGTGACCACATCGTGGGCTCAGGCTTAGATCGAGGTCGCCTGTTTTTGTTTTAGTTGGCCGATGACCAGTTACTGGTTTTTCGATTGGATTGCGGGTTCAAGTCAGGCTATTACTCTGGGGGAAAAGTGGGGAGTACGTGCAAAGGCAAAATTTCGGAGCAAATAAACCCCTGGCGCGTTATTGACTTTTCCTCCGACACATTCCTTGCACAATCGTCTCTTGGTTCCTGATATATTGCCTACGTAATATACAATCTTGATTACGCTTATTGGGTATAGTTTGTTAAGATTTAATTGGAAAAAAAAATAGCAAAACCACCCGCTGAACAATTGCATGCTCACAATTGATCATTTTTTGAGTTCCTGATTCAAGAAAAACAAATCCTTTTTCCCTGTATGGTTAGTTGTTGCAATCAGGAGCTTGGCTAAATCTATCTATTACCTTTTGTGACATCATCCAAGGGAAAAGTCGCTCCTCTACAAAGTTACTCATGGACGCCATCTTGGGATCTGCCGTGCACCCGTACATGAAGACATTTGGTTTGCGGCTGTGGCCATGAAGATCGCAGTAAATAATAACCTGAAGTGAAATAATTTTAATCAGAAACAGATGTCGTAAATTATTTTTTTCCAGACATTTGGATACACTACTTTGAACTTAAATTGTAGGAAAAAACTTACAAGCACATGTATTTATCTACGGCACAAGTAAACTAGACGTGGCAGTTAAGAGCAAGGCAATGTATGTAGGTCAGTGAATCGTTATCTGATGGCGACTATTGGCATTAAAGCTAAATTTATTTTTACTTCTAACATGCAGCAATATACATTATAATGTTATAAACTGCTGTGCTTGCATGAGCATTTTTTTGGGAGATTTGTACCCATTCCTCCCTTCGTTTCTCTTTTTCTTTTGATTTCTTACTTTCTTCCTCGAGGATCCTGGGTGATAGAGAAGGGAGAGGGGAGGGGTGTCTCCGACACACCGAGTGTATCTGAAATCCCTTGACTCCACCAGCTAAGCATGCAATCTCGCTGCGTTTTGTGGAAAACGCCCGTTATTGTTGATTACTGTACAGGTCCCTTACCTGATGGTCCTTCTTGAAGGACTCCAGCATATTCTTCATGTGCCAAACCGTTGGAAAACTCTCCTTTAAAGTACAAGGGGAAAAAATCAAATGAAAATCAAATTTTATTTGCGNTTTTTGGGAGATTTGTACCCATTCCTCCCTTCGTTTCTCTTTTTCTTTTGATTTCTTTCTTTCTTCCTCGAGGATCCTGGGTGATAGAGAAGGGAGAGGGGAGGGGTGTCTCCAATATACCGAGTGTATCTGAAATCCCTTGACTCCACCAGCTAAGCATGCAATCTCGCTTTGTTTTGTGGAAAACGCCCCTTATTGTTGATTACTGTACAGGCCCCTTACCTGATGGTCCTTCTTGAAGGACTCCAGCATATTCTTCATGTGCCAAACCGTTGGAAAACTCTCCTTTAAAGTACAGGGGAAAAAATCAAATGAAAATCAATTTTATTCGTTTGTATAACGTAGAAGGCAATTTATTAAATGATATAAAGTGGTTTTCAATTGAGTGTCGTACAACCAAAACCACAGCCATCACTCAAGCCAATCACAAAGGATACAGGCAGTGCAGTGAACCAATCAGAACTCGAAGTAATCACATGTAGCTGAAGCAAAGCTGCGAAGCGCGGGAAAACGTGAGCGAACGAGTCACGATTGGTTTTGGTTTTACTTCCGATTGGATCTAAAAGTGGCGCGAGTTTTTTAAGCCAATCATGTAACGTATTGGTGTAACTCAAATGAAAAACGCTCTATACCAGGGCTAAAACGCTAAATTACCTTCTTTGGGTCTTTGTAAGTCCTGTTCAAGTCTCTTGCTGCCAGGTTCGTTCTGTAGTTACCGACAATGACGCCATCTGGATTTAGCATTGGAACTAGCTTGAACACGAACTTCCGACGAAGTTTCTGGGCGTTGAAGATAAAAAGAAAATATGAGTGTGCAGTGAAGATTTTNTATCCAGCCATCTTGACCTCACACTTGGTCAATAACCCATATTTATCAATTGATGGTACAATCGTGGTATCAAAAACAGCCCAATCATCGGTGAATTTTCGAAAATTTAAGGTGGCTCTGAACCCCATGTGCATAGTATTTTAAACTTTGCCCAAAGTTGCATCTTACTTGCTTATCGAAATTCGATAATATAAAAAATAGGCTTCATCGTGTCGTTTTTGAAATAAAAGTACTTAAAGCTAAAATTCAGGGTGTTTTAATAGGTAATACTGTTACTATGGTAACCTTTTGTGTCACGAAAATGATAACAACCTGTTCACCAATGATTGGGCAGTTTTTTTTGATACCTAGTGCAGTTACCTCTTTCTGCACATGTTGTGAGACCTTTGGATTGTGGACAATTGATCGCAAGTACAGCTCCAGATCGGTGTAAGAATAAGGATAACAGTGAGCCAAATAACATGTGTCATCTTCATGTGGAAATTCCTGAAAATATATCACAGCACTGTGAATAAATATCTACAGTCGAACCACTAGTAAGTGGCCACAACCTATTCTTGGCTTGCACTGTCACGCAATATAAAAATAAATCAAAAACTAATCATTCGGTGGACAAAGTCAAGAAATTGTGATTTTATAGGAGACTGATAAGGCAGACACTTCTCCAAGTTTTAAGTCTACAGCCCAGTATGGAGCCGGCACGTTGGTGTACCTCCGTGGTACACCAACATGGCGGCCGGAAAATAGTGTAAACATCTGGAACTTACTTTGGCCATCTGGGCGCCTTATAATCTGTACTGAACTAACAAGTATGTATATAAGCACTTTTCCTAATACTTTAACTTCTAAAAAGGCTAAAAAATCACGAGATAAGTATATATTTTTCGACCAAAGTGTGCTTAGCTTTATGTCACGCACCGCCATAACTCTGAAATTCAAAATGCGCTGGTTTCCAGACGAAGCAAGCCACTGAGCTGAAAAGTTGTAAACAAATGTAAATTTACCCCCTCTAATGCCTCATGAGGATAAAAACTTTGGTGGCTCGTTAGGTTTGGATTTTAGAACATGATGACGTCACGTACAAGCCAAGAATTGAGCCGTTGTCAGTGGTCGGCAGGAGAGCTAGTTGAACTTAGTTTAAATAAAGACATTGTAATGACGATGATAAAGTTGGATGCCATAAGCTGTTTTTACTTCATGACACACTGCTATGTTAGCCTGCTGTAACAATATCTCACTGCGATAATCGAGTTTTCAATTTAAAAGTGAAGAAAGGTTACTTTTAATGCGCTCCTGTTAAAAATGATATTAATTTGAATTAGCGATACCTTCCCTTAGTTACCGTACGTAACTTTCACCTGACTACTGATTGGAAAAATAAATATACTACCGAACTTGGGTCTCAGTATTTTCGGAGAGGTGGAGTGGCTCGGGGTGGGCTCGCTTCTTTCGGGGGGTCGCTAATTTCGGGGGTCGCTTCTTTCGGGGGTCGCTACTTTCGGGGGTCGCTGCTTTCGGGAGGGGTCGCTACTTTCGGGGGTCGCTGCTTTCGGGAGGGGTCGCTACTTTCGGACGTTTACCGTAAAAGAACCTACATAAGCGTATCTGTAGCAATTAGATGTTTTCGTTTTCTTGAGCTGTTTAACTGCTACTACTGTAATTAAAAAGAACTTACCATATGAAATGTGAGAGTGTAATAGACATATTCACGTTGTAACAGAGGGTTTTTGTAAGATGAGGTTTTGTAGTAACTGATGTTAAAACCGACTCGTTTCCAACCCAGGCCCCCGACTGTAGCCTCTCGCTCGGAATACAACAATGGCTTCATTCCTAGAACGAGAAAATATATCGAGAGTTGCATAAAAACTGTGAGGAATTCTGTATCATTGATAAAAACAACGAGTGCATGGCTGTAATTAGACAGAACATGTCAACTGCCCTGTAGGACTAATGGCTGAAGGAAATTAATTACAGACCAGTTGGACCCCGCTAATTCGAACTCGATTGTTTCGAATTGCCTGTTATTTCGAACTCAAAACCATTTCCCTGGGATTAACCCTACAGTTATTTACTATCGGATATTTCGAAATCCCGCTATTTCGAACTCAGTATTTTTCGTTTCCCCTGCCAGTTCGAAATAGCGAGGTTTAACGTTATCATTTCTTCTTCTTCGGGGAGCAATGCTAAAAGCAGGAAGTTTGTCTGCGTAGGAGACTACTGACGTATGAAACCACAGGGTTTATGGTAGAACTGAAGGTTTCCAATCATTTTTGAACCTGCTGTTTATCATTTTTTGAAGTTTCGCACCGTATGCCTTGACTTACAAGATCACTCGAGGACCTACAGTAATCCCAAAGTGTCATAAGTTGAAAGCAATCAGTTGTCCAACCGGAGAGAAGGGTCTCATCCGGGATGTCATGTCACTTAGCAACGTCTCCGAGTGAAAAATAGCATTAACCCGGGCTTTAATAACCATGTTTATGAAACAGGATTTCCCAAGTTGCTATTGGTCAAAACGTATACACCTACCGTAATTGTATAAACTGTCTTTCTTGAGCAGATTTATGATGTTGAACTTGTAAGTAATGCCAGGAACCATGTTTTGAACGCGGAAATAATACCTATCGTAAACATGAAAGAATCTTAATATTATAATCGAAATATCAAAATTATGTTCCTGAGTGAGGGATTTTTTTCGGGGGGGGAGGGGAAAACGCCCGTTATTCCGCCAAAACTGCCAGTAGTATTTTTACCTGCTTTTTGAAGGGTAAAAGGCAAAGGTAAGTCTGCATACGAGCCAAGTGGCCCATCAGGCCGGAGCTTATCCCGGTTTCAGTAGCATGAAGCGACTAGGAGAACTTCTACTCCCCCCTGGATGGGATGCTAGTCCATCGCAGGGTTANCCCCCCCCCGAACGGGATGCTTCAGTCCATTGCAGGGTTACCCCCAGCATTAAATTCGGCGGTACCCATTTATACACCTGGATAGAGAGAGGCACTGTGAGAGTAAAGTGTCTTGCCCAAGAACTGACAATGTCCCCGGGAAGGGCTCGAACCCGGACCACTCGATCCGGAAGCGAGCGCACTGACCATGAGGCCACCGCGCCTCATAAAAAAATGAAGACAAAACCTGTCCACTTGAACAGGAATATAACATTCGTTAACATGTGATATACATATGATTAATGGAAATCTTAACTGGCGAAACCATTCCGAAACCACTTAAATTGCAGCTAAAATCGAGCGGGTTTTACCTTAAATTGTGCAGAAATCTACAACTGGGAAATATCGGCTCCAGTTCAGAAATAAATATTTACTGAAAGTTGGGAAAGGTCGCCTTTTAGTTTTGAACTACGTTAAAAAATCTCACTGCTTACCATTGCATGTGTCGCTTAGTGTACAAGTCACAACTCAGGAGCAAGTCATATTCATAACTGCCACTACAAGACAAGGTAAAAACAACGTCCCTGAGTACAGGGTCTGTAAATTGGTCCATATTCACTGTATAGAAAGAAGGTGATCTCTGCATTCAAACTAAATAAAAAAGATCCCAGGAAAAAACGATGATTTGTCTCTCGCAAGCCAAGCAGTTTAAAAAAAGCCACCATTTTGTATGTTGTGTATGTGCACGCGCTAACGGCGCGAAAATCGTACGCAGTAGGGATGCGCAATGTAATTCTAAGGAATTCCCTTAACAGGCCAAAAGAACGTTGATAAAATAAAACGTTCATCGCCATGTTGTGGCCTATGAAAAAGCCCCCCTAGAGGAGTGCAGAGCAAACTCATTGCACTTTGGAAAGGAGAAACACTGGCTCTCTGGTTTTATTTTGCTTCATACCTCACCAGGGAACCTTGAGGGGCATAGCTAGCGAGGGGTCCTAGGGTGCTCGTGACCCCCCCTTTTGTAAGCCTTTCTTAAGCAAACAACCTACAACAGGTGGCAAAAACAACATCACAATCTGGTGAGTACCCTCACATTGACTCAGTGTGACTCCCCCCCCCCCCCCCCCCCCCCCACCACCACCACCACCACCACCAACCACCACCATCACCGCGGCAACCACCAACGCCCTCACCATCATCAGGAGCACCTCTAACGCCAACCACCACTGACGCCAATACCACCTTGCCTGCGAAAGTGTTATTTCTCTGTCTTTATTGCTAGAATTTTTAATTTATTATCTTTATATATCTTTTTAAATTCATTAAGTGTTTATATATCGTAATTGTGATTCATTGTTCTTAGCCTCTAATTACATGTCTTGATATTTATAACATTTTTCTTCCTTCTCATTATACGAATATATCTTCATGTATTGTTTTTTTAATTTTAGATATTTTTATGGTTTTATTTCATCATGAATTTTGGTACCGAATTGTTAAGTCATAGTTAACTATTATTATACAATAGTAATAGAACCAAATAACAATACAATAAAAGTAATTATATTAATGTAATAATATTACTTCTGAAAACGCGCCTTCATTAAATCGTTTTAGAGGGATTTTTCATAACCCTTGGATAGAAATTCAAACACGACGTTATAAACTGTACTGTATAACTGGTTAAGAAAAACCACTCTCAACATTACACTTTCCAAAAAATTACTTCCTTCCAAGTTCAGTGGCAGTGAACGATCTAGGCGGGGAACTGAACCTTGTCCTGACGCTTTATCAGATCATTTCTCTCTACTGAATCGCGATAAATTGTCTTATAACGAGTAGAAACATTCTCTTGACTGAACAATATTGCCAAATTTTCCGAACTTGTCTTTCACCATATTCCATTCCTTATTCTACAAAAAAGTATTTTTAGATATTCATCTACAAAACCAATAAGGTATTTTTATGGCTGCCATACTCATGTCCCCATAGTATCAAAATGTATGTGCAAAATTTCAGTCAAATCTCATTTACCATTAATGAATTGCTTCAGTTTGAGAACATTAATATGGCTGGCTTATCTTGACTTGACAAGAAAACGTCCTGCATGGTTAAGCGCATGCTTTGTTCATTTATTGGAGGTATGCTGTTCATAGTTCCGTTCTGTTTTCATTGGACAGTTGGATATCCATGTGAAGTACTTAGTGCATCTAGTCTAAGGAGCTTCTAAGGCCGGGTAGCATCGGCCTATAGGAGCGACCTGTTATCCTCTGTTCAGATATGGAACAACTGGTCGTGTTGTCGAGATCAGTGAAATTGCACTTGTCTGGAGAGCGTAATCTAGATGAAGGCTGCTGCTTTTTGTGACTGCTCTTAGAACGCTGCGAAATGTCTGATAAGAAAAAAAAAAAAAAAAAAAAAAA